TTTCATCTTCCAGGGATAGACTTAAAATCATGTCCCTCTTTGTAATTTTGTCATAATCCATTGGGCCATGTTGATTACCTTCTGGCTCTGCCTGGTATTTATGGACCACAAGGGCACCATAGAAAATTGAAAGGGATTGTGTTATTCTTTCAGTGATACTGAACTATTTGTGATTTCTTTTATTAGCTGCAAACAACTAAAGATATTAATCTTCTAGGCTTTTGATTAATTGCCAAACCATGATTATTGATCGATGATAAGAACAGAAAATTTAAGTTAGAAAAGCTTGGTATTTTCTTGTCAGATTGTGGCAGAGCAAGAAGACAATGGATAGTTTCTAAACAATGGCTACTTCCTTGCATCGTTAATGAAGAATGATGCAGAGGAAGAGATAATGGGGACTTATCGCAGTTAGTTTTGCTTCTGTCCCCAGTGCTGCTGCTACTTCCATATAGGCTAATTCCTCATGATGGGCTGAAGCCAATGGCAGTATTAAATATGAAGTCTAAGAATCTGATGGAAACATCAATGATTAATATTCCGGGTACAAGCATGGCTGGACACATGCATGGGTCTAGAAAAATGTTGACCTTAAACAAATAGACTGCCAGATATTTCTCCAGCAAAATGGGTTTATTTGAAAACAACAAGGAATTGTAATCTGGGACATGTGGTCTAAATGTGAACCACACACAAGTCCAAAGAAACAAAGGAGAGGAATGCCCTTTTATAGACTTGGGAGGTGCTGTGGTAAAGGAAGAGTCTATTGAAGGAAACTGAAGGTTCGAAGTATATATATGTGACTTTTCATTGGCTGAGTTATTTATGGTAGCCTTCCATTGGCTGAGCTGTACTGGGCCAGGAGGAATCTTTTCTTTCTCCTGCTGAGGTAGTCATGTGGTATCACTTCCTGTTGAAGATGCAAGGTGCATATCTCTTCCTATTGGGATCAGTAGTATAGTATGTGTTGAGTGACACATGTGTGAAAGTTGTCTCTTTCTAGCATCCCAACTCCATTTTAAATGAGCTTTATGTTTATTAATTTTCACAGAAATAATAGTGGATATGAAGACTTTGAGCTTAGCAACGACGTAGTTCAGTTCCACAAACATTTATTAAGAGTGCACCAGATTCCAGGAAAAAGATGCAAAAAACAAGCCCCCTGCCTTTGAGTGGCTTAAAGTGAACTGAAGGAGCCAAACATATGAATAAATCATTTCAAGAGATTGTAGATAAGTGGCCAACACAGTTTTGGAATTGGCTAGAAATCATTATGTGTAATCTTGGGATTAGCAGTGCTCTCAGTGATTTAAGTTGCATATAAACCCCAGAGTGCATGGTTGAAATTTTGTCTATCTCTACCTGACCCCCATTCATAGAATAATAGAGCGAGAAGTGCTTGGAAAATAATATATTGAAACAAAGACCCTTTAGAATCTGAATGTGCTCTCCATTTACTATCATAGGGAAGAGTTTTGGGTAAATTAACTCTTAATTTTGTTCAACAACACTTATTTGGCACTTAGAGCTTTACCAGCTGCCAAAACATAACAATGAGTAAGAGACAGACCCTGATCTCAAGTTACTCAAGGTCTGAAATGATTGAGTGAAGAGCACTGAGCAAACGGACACTTCAAAACGGAAGATGGTAATTAGTGTCCTGGAGCTATGCACACAGTAGAGTGGGAACCTGATGATGGTGCCTACCTCACTGTGCAGGAGGCAGGAATGGTTTTGCAGAAGGGCTGTTTGAATGGAAGCTTCTAGAATGAGTCAGGTGTATTCTCGACAGAAGGCATTCCATGGAGACAAACAGCTGTGCAATGGGATGGAGGTGCAAGAGCATGGTATACTCAGGACCTCCCAGGTTCACTGTGTAACTGAGCATAGAGGGAGGGAAAGGAGCAGATAGTGATAATCTGGCGATCATCAAGGCCAGCCAGTTCCTTGTCCTTGAGGAGCCCCTGAAGAATTGTATGCAGGTCAGATTTTTGAGGAAGAAATAACACTTCACAACAAAGGTGAAGGCTAGAGGCAGGGAGACCAGGAGACTAATGTGGTAGCCCAAGCAAGATGCAAATGAGGCCTGTCCATAGGGCAGTGTGGCAGAGGAGATTGTCATAGGGGCTGCACATGAGAGATACCCAGAGGCCTCCAAGTTTGGTTGGATGTGGATAGTTAGACAGAGCATTGGTTCTAGATGGATGCCCAGGATTCTGGTGTGGACCAGTGTGAGAGTAGATGGGGTCATCATTCCCTGAGACAGTGAAAATAGGAAAAGGAAGAAGTTTAAGGATAATGATTTCAGTCTGTGATTTGGGGGTGTTGGGGTGCATGTGAGAGGGCCAGAGAGTAGATTCCTAGTAAATAATTGAACATGTTGGTTTGGAGATGGAAAACGCGGTTTAGGCACAAGAGTGCACATTGGGGAATTATCAGCATATGGGTGGCAATTGAAGCCATGGGTAAGAAGATGGAAGAGTTATAGGCCAAAGGCGGGAAAGGCAGCTTGTAATAATGTTATGAAGGGCGTTGAATGATCTATGAAGGTTTTATACAGTGAGACTGCTTTGGCTAAAAAGGTTGTCCAAGTAGAAGCTGAATTATAGTCTAATTCATTAAATAAGCATGTGTGGCGCATGTTCTGTGTGGTTTGACACAGGGGTGAGAGCAGTGAACAAAAAAAGCAAAGTCTGCCCTGGCCAGTTTGGCTCAGTGGTTAGAGCACCGGCCCGTGGACTGAAGGGTCCCAGGTTTGATTCTGGCCAAGGGCACATACCTTGGTTGCAGGCTCCGCCCTGGTCAGGGCACTTGCAGTAGGCAACCAATCGATGTGTCTCTCTCACATCGATATTTCTCTTTCTCTCTCTCTCTCTCTCCCCCCCCCCTTCACTCTCTCTGAAAAGCAATGGAAAAAATATCCTCAAATGAGGATTTAAAAAAAGGCAAAGTCTGTTTTGCTCTTATTAGCTTAGGTTGGAGAATCATGTATGTAGTTAATATCCACAACAGCAAGTACTGCAAAAGAAAAGTACTTAGGGCTATTTAACAGTACATAATTTGGGAGGGGATTAGAAGAGGGGGCTAGCACTTGGCCTGTGGGGTCAGAGGAGACATCTCTGAGGAAGTTATATTTCAGGTGGACCTAAAGGATAAGTAGGTAAGACCCAGGTGAAGGGATGGGGAGAGCCCTCCAAGGAGAGAAGACGTCATGTGCAAAGCCCTGAGATGGTTGAGTGTATTCAGGGCCTGAAGGATGCCTGTGTAGCCTGAGGGAGCAAGAGAGCTGGGTGCTTGAGATGAGGTGGTGATGGAGTTAACTCAACTCCCATAGCACACCTGGGAGGGGAGATGCTTCATGAACCTATGCAGTTGCCACCCTTCCCTGTTGCACACACCTTGAGGACCTGGATTGTCAATCCATGTTTACTCCAAAGGAAAACATTATTACAATAGCAGGATCCTCAAGTGAGCAGTGAGCCACAGTCAAGAGAGTCGCTCTTTTCCTTGGCAGCCACCTGCCCTAAATCAGCACCAGAGCTCCATCTCAGAGCTCACCATGGGGCATTTAGTGACAAGCAGTGAGGAGGTGATTCTGTGCTTGGTGAAGACTGAGAGTTGTCTGGATTCGGAAAGTGGCTGTTGAAGCAGAAAAGAAAGACAGAGGAGTTGAACAGCCAAGAAATCAATGTGTTTTGGTCAACACAGCTCACCTGGGAGAATAACATTTTAGTTTGGCAGCAGCAGAACGTGCCTCTTTGGAACTCAGCATGTCCAGGAATTAGCTCAAGAGTCAAAATCCAGCCTTGGCACATATTGGCCTTGATGTGTTTCTTTTGTGAAACATAACAAACCAATGGGGAAAATAACTTTGGAAGGAAACTTGATTGATTTTTCAAAGAAAGAAAGAACTTGTCTGAAAATTTACCATAAATCTATGAAAGCCATCCTCCTAGGCAGCTTGTAAAAGAAACTAAATTAGATAGCTTTGCCAAATTTTTGGCCTTTTTTTCCCGTTATTCCTGTCAAGTTGGTTTATTAGGTGAAAAACTGGATGGCCAGGTGCTGTAATTCACTGTTGTTTTTCTTCTATTGATGACAAATGCATCTTCATGTGCCTTCCAGTCTCCAAATACATAGTTTGAGGTAATAAGCTGTCCAGGCTTTGTGGTAAAGCAGAATTGCCAAAAATTCAATACTTGGCTTTAGCACTTGGTAACAGTGAGACCTCTGTGCCTCTCTTTTATTATCTGTAAAATGGGAATAAATAAGCCTGCTCCACTTACTGAAGAGGGCGTTTCGGAAAGTGAAACTCATGGAAGAGTGCTTTATATACTGTGTCACCATCCACATGTTAAGTATTAATATGATAGCAATTCTCATCACTGTGACTCAGAGATATGGGAAGGGGTGTCCATTCCCCTCCCATTTTCCAGAGGGGGGGGGAGTTGTTTTGTGACTGTCAAAAACATATTTTAAATGTCACATGTACCATCAGAATTGCAAAGTATATTTCAGTTTCCTTTTTGTTCATTAACAATGTAAAAATCACAAATTTTTCATGAAGATGGAAAAGAAAATGAATAGTGAAAAAATCTGAATGGTGATAGCATTGTCCAAGGATTAGAAGGAACAGCAGGGGTTAACATATGATAATTGTATTGTCTTTTGTGCCTGTTGAGGGGAGCATAGTTTAGGCCCACTGAGTCTGCCTGAGCAGGCGCATTCTGTAAAGCGGTCCTGTTTCTTCTCCCTCTTCACCCCATAATCTGAGCCCCTCGCCTCCCTCCTAGCCTTTCAGCGATGATGTGTGTGGCTGGATGTGGGGCGTTCCCGTGCGTCTGTGGCTGAACTCTGAAGTTATGCATTTGACATGAGCTACAGGAATAGGAAAAGTGGAGATGTTCTCGGGCACCCTTTTGTGGGGTGGCATGAAGAGGAATAGCAAGAAAAGATTTTCTTCTTTCTGATTGTCAAATGCTTTCTCTTTCAAATCTCAGGTGACAGTGACAGATGGCGGTTCCTCTCCAAAACAGTCAACCATTTGGGTGGTGGTTCAGGTTCTGGATGAAAATGACAACAAGCCTCAGTTCCCAGAGAAGGTCTACCAGATCAAGCTACCGGAGCGTGACCGGAAGAAGAGGGGGGAACCCATTTACAGGGCTTTCGCGTTTGATAGAGATGAGGGCCCCAACGCAGAAATCTCCTACAGTGTAGTGGATGGGAATGATGATGGAAAGTTCTTTATTGACCCTAAAACTGGCATGGTTTCATCCAGAAAGCAATTTACAGCAGGGAGTTATGACATCCTAACGGTAAGATTTTTCTGAACCTCAATAACATTAATGGGGGGAGGGAATCACTTTCTTATTCGTGTATATTCCTTTGAACAAAACATCTTTAGAGTAAAAGGTACAGCCATGTAGCAGTGGAAGGCTACCTCTGTTTCAGTGATATTCTTAAATAATGACACCATTTCCTTTGCAAATGGTAGATCTCCCCCATTCCCAGTCCACAGCCTGCTCCATCACATACTCAGCATACTTCCTGCAACCCTAAATCATTTCAAGGTACTGAGAATAGATGCAAACTAAGGGTAGGAGAATAGCAGAGTGACATATCCCACCTGCTATTCGGCATCACTCAATGTGTCTCCCAGAATTCGCAAAGAAAACAACTCTTGTAATTGCTGACAATGTGATAGAACATTAATTGAACTGTGTGAATTGTGAGACACAAATCACAGCTATGCTTAGTCTCTAAAAAGTGAAAAAAACCTTAAGTAAAAAGTGACTAAATTTTTCAGTGTTGGCAAATTAAAAATAAAAACAACCATAAGCACCATCTCAAAGAGACAAACTCCCATGTCTAAGGTACCAGCCTGCTACCTCCACCCCTAACCACATTAGACCTGCAGTGCCTATGCCAGAAAGGGGACTGGTCATCCTACAAATGATGAGCACTTTCCAGGCTCCCTAAAAAGAGTTAATGCCATATGCCATCCTTCTCTTAGTTCTCAACAGTCTCTGCTATATACAGTCAACTCTTTACTATTTTAAAAGATGGTCTGAGTTTCTTAATTTCTCTTTTCACTCCTGTGGTCTGGACTTGGGTCCTTTCCCTGCTCAGTAATACATCCAGAACAGTGGGCAAAGAAAAGAAGATAATAAAAGACTAGCTCTGTTTCTACCATTAAAAGCTCTGATGTAATAAGTGCTACTGCAGCTGTGTGAGAGTAGCCAATGGGAATCTATGAGGACTGGATGGACTGCAGTGGATACTGTTGGTGCCCCACCCAGATTCCCTTTACCAGCTGGTGCAGCTATGCCTGAACTGCTGTGGCTGAATGTTGGCTGCTGAGGGCTCATAGCTGCTCCCTTCTTCAGAGAGTTATGCTTGACTGACCTTCTGGGTTCCACATTCCCACCCCAGCCCGGCAGCCCACAGCCAATGACTGACCCACATCCGATGCGAAAATCCAACCCCCTAGCCTCCAGGTGGATCCAACTCTATGGTGCAGTTAATGACTCCAAGCTCCCTGTGGGATCAGGATGAGATCAGACTGTAGCTGAGACCACATCGTTGCTTAACATCTTCCCCTGTCCATCCAGCTTTCCTCACTTCCTTTCTTCTAAGAACACTTCCCCGCCCCCAAAAGCATCATTTGTACTCAAATCCCTGTTTCAGACTCTGCTCCTAGGAAACCTGACCTAAGACATCTACTTCCAGGGTCCTCCATCTCACAGGAATTTTCCAGGGCAAAGTGATCATCCATGAACATAGAGCATTAGGGAGTTATGAGTTGCCACTGTTTTTAAAGGCTATAACTATTGGCCATGCATCTATAAATGTTATTTTAATCTACTATTTTTAAATCCTTTATTTTTATTTTCTCTCAGTGGTGTCAGCCTATTGGACTTAACTGCTCACCGCACACACACCCCCAATTTAAGTCCAGGACACCATTGCAGTTAACGCTGCACATATGCTTTCCTCAGCTTTTCTATCAGACCATACAAAAGGATCATTAACACCCTCTCTCCCACTCCCCTGCCCTCAGGAGCCCATGCTTGCACCAAGAGAGCTCTTCACCATTCAGCTGACATAACTGAAGGGCCTCTGAGGTGGTTAGAGCAAGGCTGTTGCCTTTGCCACACCTGCCCCCATCGCTTACCTGGGATTCTGTGCGAGCGGAATCCTTCTCCAGGGGAAAGCAGAAGAAAGGAGCTGCAAAACATGACCATTCACGCACGCGCACGCACACACGCACACGCACAGTTTTGTGCACACACACTTTATTCGCACCCGAGCAGAGATTCACAGTGTACTGTATTTCCTTTCAAGCATCACCCTCAGAGGTATAAAGAATCAAATGAGCTATTTCTACTCATGTAACTATCATTCATGAACATAAAATGCTAAAAACCGTAAGTGCAACATTTGTTTTTCAAGTTTTTCACATCTGTAAAGTTGGCTGTGGTCCAAATCATCTTCTGGCAAATGTGGCACGGGACCCCCACACGACCAAGTTGTTTGCCCCCAACTCCTGAGCTCATTCTCCCCAGATCTCCACTCTTTCTTCCCTTTGCTGACACTGTGATGAGTATGGTCGCTCAGCTCGACAATGTATGAGTGACAGATCCACACTTCCACAAGGGTCCGAGCTCTCAGACATCTTTCTGTGTTCTCTCCGTGTGTGAGTAGATAAAGGCGGTGGACAATGGGCGCCCACAGAAATCCTCCACGGCCCGCCTCCACATTGAATGGATTAAGAAACCACCCCCTTCACCTATACCGCTAACCTTCGATGAGCCATTTTATAACTTCACAGTCATGGAAAGCGATAGAGTCACCGAGATTGTGGGGGTGGTGTCTGTGCAGCCAGCTAACACCCCTCTGTGGTTTGACATAGTTGGTAAGTCTGAGTCCTCCAGAGCTGTATGGGGCAATGTGGTCATTTGCTGTTTGGAGCAACTAGCAAAAAAACAAACAAACAAACCAAAAACAACAACAAAAACCACTAATGATCAGTGCTCAGATTAAAACATGTATAGTGCTGGAATGCAAAAGAGCCAGTAAAATGAATAGTAGACCTGTGCTTTCGTTCCGACTCTGTAGCCAAGCTGAACAGAAAGTGCTCTCTGGCTGGATTTTCCATAGTACGTTATTTACTGCAATCTTAATGTCTTTCCGTGTGTCATTTAAATTCTATTGTCACACTTGGCTAATCTCATTTCTAAATGTATTGATGGTACTAGACTTGCTGTCCTTCATTTCTCTCTTTTTCTTCACCTTTTTTCTGCATTCTGTTCTTTTTTTTTTTCTGCTCCCGACTGCCCTGCTTCAAGGTGGCAAGCATGCTCGAGAGATGTTCTATATTCTACAGACAGCTTGTGGGCAGAACTGTTCAACAGAAGGTACCCTTAGTGCAAACACATTTGCTAAAATACAGCTATCCAATCTGCCTTTTACAGTTTTTTTAAGCGAATTAAATTACATCTTTCATAACTGCCTGTGACAGGCTGAAGTGCAGCCCACAGACTTCATACATGCCTCTAACAGCTATTGCATTACTCGTATCCAGTGACTCTTTTGTTTGAGGTTGGATGGGGTTTGGATTTAGGGTGGGGGTTGTTTTGATTTATTTTTTCATTTTTTTTCTTTGTTTTTGAGGTAGTGCGGGCTTTTGGTTGTTTTCTTTTCATCTTTTTTGTAGGTTGGTTTATTTACCTGGGCCTTTTCCAGTTGAGAAGTAAATTAAAACATATCCCAACGAGTCTGTTTTGTAGCCGTAATGCCATTCCTAGACCAAAACACCCCACCAGGAAGAGTTTCCTGGCTGCTCTCCACAAAAGGAAGGGCAGGAAGTGGAACTGAGATATATAGCCAGTGAGAGCTTCCCTCAAGAGCTGAATAGAAAAAGCAGATGGAAGCATGCAGGATAGACCTTGGGAGCCAACCTTTGAATTCCTTGAAAGCAAGCAAGCACGCACGCCAGGCTGCTAAAGCAGAGGGCAAAACAGCATTACTGCCCTCAACAGACCTGCAGGGAGAGGCGGTGGAAAGGAAATAAGTGCCGAGGACCAAGAAACATAACATGCTGTTGCTAAGAGGAGAGAAGGGAGAGCGTGTGCCAGCCCTGGATCTGCCTCTGGTTGAGCTGGAGCTGACTTCCCACGGTTCTCCGTGGGAGGCGGGGATTCCAGATTGCTGGTCTGGGGGAATCATTTCCTTCCACATGTCATTGCCTGGAAAGGATGGGCAGGAACCTGCTTCTCTTCCCAGGAATGGTTGGATCTGGGAAAATCATTTAGAACATTCCACATCTGTTTTAATGGGGCACAGAAAAAGAATGCCCCATAATCCCCAATCAAACCTCAGTAGAGGGTCCTCTGAACTCCCAGAAAGAAAAGGCTTGTTTTCTACATATTTCATTTTATGGAGTGATGGTAGAAAGTCTTTGTTTTACTTATTTGGCATTAATCACAGCGCCCTGTACATGACCATCCTCATTCCAAGCTTTCAACTCCTTCATCTCCACTTAATGCATTTGAAATGCAAGCTCCTCTGATCCATGAAAGGTGTCTCCATGTCTGTCTCTTCTCAGGAATTTTCAGCTCATTAAGCTATTATCTGATGCAGCTTCCTCTTTCTTGGTGAAACAAAGGGTTGCATATATGCATCGCCTGGTTGTCTGTGCTATCAGCTTTGGTGATTCCTTCACCATCATCCCCAGTTGGAGTCCCAGCAAGTGCATTTCAGTGTCAACATGTGTCACTGGTGCCGGGCCTCAAAGGGCATGTGTGATAGTGACTTCTTTTAAATAACCCAAAGGAGAGTACAGTCAAAACCCAGTAGGCAACAGGGCTCCTGGGGTGCTGTCCTGAGCTGTGGGAGGACCTACCCTCTCTCATCAGCCACCAGTTTATCTCCCTTCTTCCCTGACAGTCCAGTTTGCAAGCACCTCAACAACCTGACAACACTGCTTTCTGTCCCTTGTGTGACCCATGCATGCCACCTTCTGTTCCTCAGCCCATCCCACCACCTTCCCCACCCACTCTCAGAAATTCTGCAAGCACACCTTTCGCTGATGCTCAGTCTAACCAGCCAAGTTAGCCAAGTTGGTTTTGCAATTCCTCAACATTCCCGCATGTGTATGTATGTGATTGTGTGTAGGTAAGCATGCCTAGTAGTGCTGCATGTTACCTTACTTGCATGTTTTTATCTCAGCATTATTAGTGCTGTTGTGTTTTCATTCGTGTTTATCCTGTCTCCATTCTTAAACCTTAAGGTCAAGGCCGTTGTCTCTCCATTCTTTCCTTCTGTGGCAGTCCACTGAGGGTGTGTGGAATAAACAGTGGTGACCAATGGAGATGGCCCAGGTAGCCAATTAACCCTGTGAAGCCGCCTGAGGCCAACTCTGAGTCAGTGTGACCTTCCATTGTATTCCCAGCCATATCAACCACCCCACATTTGACAAAATGAGAATGCACCAAGATCAGAGGGGAAGTTTGCAAATGAGAGCCCTCCCTAGAAGGAGGCCCTTTAGGCTGCTCCAAATATATGTCTGGGGATCACTATCAAAATCATGGTATCAGTTTTCTGTTTCTCCATCTTTGTATTTCTAAGTGCTATACTCTTCCTATAGAATCCTCTTGGTGTCAGTGTACTGAGTAGCTCTTTTAATGAAGACCACAGGATTGTCCCTCTGGTCTGTGATGCTTCCATCACAGAGATTTCACTGGGGATCTGGAGACATCTAGCCAACCTTCTCCTACCAACCGAACCTACTCAGCCGGAGGCCCAAACAGAACATGATTTTATTTCCACCCCCACATCTAGCCAACAACATCTTGAAACACCAACTCTGTATTTCACTGCAAAAGTAAGATTTTTTCCCCAGGTGCTGGTTGCTTTCAGTATAGATATGGCCCCTCTTCCACCAAATCCCCCTTTTGAAAATCCTTTCTCACCTAACAGAGTCTTTTTTTTTTTTCTCGGTCTGCTGACATCTTTCCCTTTCTCTACAAACCTATTGTTTTCTTTATCATATTCAGATGTTTCGTCCTCACTTTCGAGATTTCTTACCTATTTATCCTTAGCCATTGAAACTTTCTTCTCTCTTCCCTTCCTCCTTACCTAAGCATCTTCCTAGGCCAAGCTAACAGTAGAAGGGAGAGAGAGGGAAGAGTGCTTCTCAAGGGTTAAGATGCGTACCGGTGCACTATAATTGAATGCTAAGAATAGATGCGAGGCCTACACCGTCAGCATGCACCTGAAATGAGGTCTCGGGTTAAAGTGTAGGTCTTGCCTAGGTAAACACTCTATGACTCTTCCAAGGGAGGTCAAGGCTCGCTTCCATTATAAACCTAGTACATTCAGACACTTGTACTGACACTAGGGTTACAGAGACTATAACATCCTGGCCTAGCACTTACAGCTTACAAATGCTGTAACTGATGAATTCTCATTAAGTGAGCACAAATAGTGTTTCAGCATGCTTTTCCCCCTGAGAGTACTCTCCTCATTTCCATAGTTACAATCTACCCGAATTTTGTTTAACTGCATCTCTTTCCTCTCTTTTGTGATATGAATTCACAAAAATGGTATGGCCAGCATGCTTTTGTTCCCAAGCCCGGACTTCCTGCACCAAGGATCTGTCAGTCACTTTCTTGTGCCTCCAAAGAGACCACTGCTCACAAGATGCTATACAGTTAGACTCTCCTTAGCTTCCAGAAACAGAAGCCCAACTTGTAACCTAGTTAAGAAAGCTGTTATTAAAAGGAAACATAATAAATTTCAGCTGTTCTGTGTTTAAACAGCCCAACGCACAGCATGTTCCTTCTGTGTGTTAAAAGGGGAAAAAAATGAAGGGAACAAAATTAACCCATAATCCTTTGTGTCTTTATCACGCATCTTCACACTTCCCAGGAGACTCTAATTTCAACCCAGTAGCTCTGTGATTTACATACTCTCTAATGTGCACACACTGTGGTTCACCGTTCAGTCCCCATACCTTTATCCCAATGGCAAATATTTGTATTGTAAAGGCCACCATTATTACACACTTCGAATAATTCCTCTTCACCCACAGCTTGATGGGGGATGTTGCCACCCACTTTTCTAGCTTCAGGCCTGACTTAGGCTAGAAAAAGTGTTTCTTGTAGATAGTAAACAATGACAATATTTTTGTTTATTTGCCTCACCCAATGTGTAGAGAGGAGAAAGGCTGTTCTTTGAAACTAATTCTCTGATGGTGTGAGCTACTACATAGGTTCAACTCTAGCAGAAATACCTTTCTGTATTGCAGTAGATAAAGACTGCCTGGATGCTTACTGTCCTCGGTTTCTGCAGACTGTGGGTTCTTAGATACTTCTGTCTCAAGCTAACACCTGCCTTCTTGAAGCTTGTCCCCAATGGAGCCCTCTCTTATTAGGGTTGGATCAAGCAGACAAGTTAAACTCTTTGGTAGCACTAGCAACAGCTCTGTTCTCTGACAAGAGTTTGGACATCCCTGGGTCTTCTCTAACCAAATGGCCATATTTCTTTATCACAAAACTCTTACCCACCCCTCCTGAAAGAAGCCATGTCTGTGCACCATTTCTAATATAGCTATCTCTCCGTCAAGGTGACGCTTGCTCAGTCATTCAATTGGCATCAAATACTTCATTTCTCCTATTCTGCACTCTGCCCCTAATTTGATCCCAAACAGGCATCTCTTTCCTCCAAAGCAACAAGACAGGCCAGGGAGCACACCTGAAGAGATTTTAGGAAAATGGTAAAAAGCCTCAACAGTACTTTCTAAATTCATTGTTTTAAGAAAATGAATTTTACATAAGATTCTAGAAGGGATTTTCCTTCCTACCACTGTTTCCTGACCTCCACCCTGCATCTCCTGCCTTCCATGTAAACACCCTTTTCAGCCCCGTGCTGTGCTTGCTTCTTTCCAAGGCAGAAAATTATTCACGATCAAACCGTAACGGGTGTTTAGCATTTTTCCTTAAGTCCCGTGTACACGCGGAACTTGAATGAACAGCTTGTGAACGACTCCCTTAATTCATTGAGATGCAGCAGCTCAGTGTTTTGGAAGCTTCTCAAATAACACTTCCCCCTTGGTGACTACTAGCTTGGTTGATATTTTTACAATTGCACCGAGAGGGAATAGAATCATAGGCTCAGGGAGGGACCCAGAAGCTTCTCTAAAAGGGAAGCAGTGGGACAGTCACCACTGGGGCTCATCATGGAGAGATGGCGAAGCTTCGTGCCCTTCCTTAGAGAAAAACTTGTCTAAATTGTGACCGAACTCCCTGCTGCCCAGCACATTCAAGCAGTAGCTGCTGGCTCAAAGGATTTTCATTCTTGCCCCGTTTTAAAAAGATTTTTAGGACATTCCAACTTGCTCTGTTTAACTTTAGAATCCAATAGAGATCCAAGATGCCTCCTCTGCTCTTTGTTTACCCTATTATACCTGTCTTGATGGAAAACAGTCACAGAGAGTTGTCCCCGACATGAATTATCTGTTATGTGGGCTGTTCACAACCTCGCTTTTAACCATCTCTGCCGCACACCCCTGCAGCAACGCTCGGGCTGTGACTTTTGCGGTCCCCTCTTTGTTGAAACTCAGACCCGCTCGGCGGTGCCCCCTCCCGCACCTTTTGTTGAGCTCCCGCTGCTGCAGCAGCCCACTCGGCTTTGCATGTTGCGTTACTGGCTCTGAGGAAGCACATCTTGTCTAAACGGAATGCTGCTAGTGAAAGTGGACTCCTTCCACTTGATCTCCTCACCCCAGATGAATTGGACATGGTTTGCTATGAAATGAAATCACCTTTCAGGCTAAAAGGGAGCCTGAAAAATGAGCCCTGGGGGAGAGAGACGGAGTCCTTTATGAGATGGGAATGCATAAGTGGTAGGTTATTAAATTGTGTGAGGGTTGATGGTGAACTGCTGGTCTAGATTCTGTGTCCCCTGTCAGAAATTCATGTTAAAACACAGGGAAGACTTTGGGAACCTTGCTTTACATGAAATCTTGGTTTAAGCGGGAGCAAATGCCCTGGGGGTGATCATCAATGGCTGTTAGCCATGTTGATGGGCTGAGAAAGACTTCACAGGCTGTCTCAAGTGCTCCTTGATCTATTTTTTGTCTATCTCCCCAACCCCTTTAGAGATTTCTGTTCCAGAGTATTTAAATGGTAAAGGTGAAAGAAGGAGACACACACACAGAGGAAGATAGAGAACTATAAAAACTCACAGCCCTAAAAGTAGAGAGAAATATTATTTGATATGAAAAATAACTAATGATAAAGCACACAATCTCCATGCCATATGTAAAATATGTCCGTTTTATGCCACTAAGCGCATGAAATGATGATGTATTTCTGCACAGGGCCCCGAGGAAAACGTGAGTCTCAGGCAGGTGAGGGAGAACATATAGGATTGCCCCATTTAAACAGTAACTGAAACCGGCATCTTTGCATGTGCTCTGAATCAGTGTCTTATAATTTGCATAATTTCTATTTTGCCTTAATCTACAAATTTTCATCTTCTAAAATAATTGATGTTGAAAGGTGACCTCTTTTCCCCCCCTCACCTCCCCAAGGAAAAACAATCAGTGTCCTCAGATTTAAAAAAGTGTAGTCCTTTCCCCTTGTCCTCGGGAGATATGTTCCAAGACCCCCCGTGGAAACCTGAAACTGGATAATATACCCTACATATACTGTTTTTTCCTATACGCGCATACCTATGATAAAGTTTAATTCATAAATTAGGCACAGTAAGAGGTTCACAACAATAATTAATAATAAAAATAAGACAGTTATAACAATATACTGTACTAAAAGTTATGTGAAGGTGGCCTTTCTCTCTCCAGTAATTTTTCTTTTTCAGTGTAAACCTGATCCTGAACCTGTGTAACCGCCCCTTTCTTGCAGTAAATGGCATGGTGTCCCTCGTTTCAGTTTCAGGGGTCCTTTGCTGACATCTGCATTTGCTCAGTACTTCCTGGCACAAAATGAAGCCATCACTCAGAACACAATTTCTGTTCATGTCGTCTCTCCACAAATTTAATGCCTTTTCCATCTTAACTAAGCACTCACCATTGATTGTGACCGTGACTTTTACAGTTTGAAGTACAATAGCAAAACTAGCACAAATTTATTTTTCCTTCTTCACGAATATCACAGATAGAAAATTCACTCTTATCATGGATCTTAGCAGGCTCCGCATAAGATAATTTTTTCCTTCCTTAAGAACTTTTACCTTTCTGCTTAAATGAATCACCTTTTGCTTTCTCTTTGGCATATCCGACTTGCCAGCATCACTTTGGGGCCATTATTAAGTCAAATAAGGGTTGCTTGAATGCAAGTTAGAGATAACCAAGCTGGCTACTAAGTGACTAAGGGGCGGGAGACATAAAACTTATATAAACAGGACAAAGGAATGGCTCAGGCGGGGGGCAAGACAGAGCTAGACAGCTCAGGATTTAATCACACTAAGAAGGACAAGCAATTTAAAATTTATGAATTTCCACTTACTCTTCAGACCATGGTTGAAAGTTAAATCAGAGATAAGGGGGAGCGACTGTAAATATCTTGATTAAGACAACATTCTAAAACTGATTTTAAATGTGACTTAAAATATGATTTTATACCCACCAGAAACATCTTGAGAAGTTGCATTCTCATCTTCCTTTCTACACAGGTCCGAGGAGAGTTTATGTTCTTTCTTTGCAAGTTTCTGTGGCAAAGTTTTTTCAGAAGGTACCGCTTGATAGCAAGTGATTTTCCTTTGCTCATTAAGATGGTTACTCCAGACACTTGGATCAGCTTTGCGTTTTACTTCACGTGATTATCAACATAAACATTCCCCTTGAAGAAGACGTGGTGACCTAAGACTTGCTTCCCCTTTTCAGCCTAGATTTTCTTTTCTTTCTCCTTACCCTGTTCTTCAAAAGATTTTTTTTGGTATTAACATTTAGTTATCAGTAAATCAGTTAAAGATATTAATTGGAAGATGAGTCTCTTTTCAGATGAAATTCTTGAAAAATATATCATCTCCAAGCAATTCTGTGGTACCCCTGTATCTCCATAACTTTAATTAAATGTCAAGGGCAATTATGTTCGCTCTGGCAATTAAATAATCTTAAGTGTATTTGACAGCTGCAAGCAGTAAGTATTTGAAATATGTAGGACCAGGCTTTTTGTAATTAACCATATTACAGTAGTCCCCCCCTTATCCATGATTTCGCTTTCTGTGGTTTCAGTTACCTGCAGTCAACCTCGCTCTGCAAATATCTGTCACTCACCTCACTTAGGCATTGCATCATCTCACAGCATTACCAGAAGGGTGAGCGCAGTGCAAGATATTTTGAGAGAGACCACAGTCACATAACTTTTATTGCAAAATGTGTATTGTTAGAATTATTCTATTTTATTATTAGTCGGTGTCGTTAAGCTCTAACTGTGCCTAATTTATAAATTAAACTTTATTATGGGTATGTATGTGTAGGAAAAATCATAGTGTATTCAGAGTTCAGTACCATCCTGGGTTTCAGGCATCTAGTTAAGGAGTTCCCCTTATTCCCTGTGGATAAGGGGGGCAGAGAGGTTACTGTATTTATTTTATGTCACCGTTGGTCAAATTCTAGTAATTCAAGTAAAATTCTCCTTTCCCTGAACTCATCTGCTCATTTGTGATTGTAATATCGTAGAAATTTCATATAGTCATGTTCATTGATCAACAGAATGAAATGAAAAGAATGTAGACTGTACAAGAAGCCAAGATTTTTTTTCTAAAATAGGAAATTCAGTAAATGCATTGCTCTGTGTGCTTTGGTTAAATAAAATTACTGCCCAGGAACAAAAGTGACATCATGAAATTTCAGACAAAAATAAATAGAGCTTGGAACATATACTGGTATTTAATTTATATTGTTTCAGCATGTAAATGGTATAAACCATTATCTTCTCTTTGCCTTAAAAATAAATCTTTCATTTTGGAATGATCATAAACCACACTTTGGTTCACAGAGATGGAAAACATCTATAATAACTTTATAAAGCCTGTGTTGTCTTAAGCACATCATTTACAGATTGGGATTATACCTGGTCCAGGAGGGAAAAAGTAAAGTTTTCTAAATTTTATATTAATTGTTTAAGTGTTTTATAAGTTGATTTTCATTTTATAAATCCCCCATAGACTTTCTACTTTGGAGGGAGAAAAATAATTCACATTGTCAAAATGGCATAAATACATTTCTATAAATGTTCTAACTTGCAGATATAAAATTTTAATATGAAATTTATTTATTTTTTGCTTTTTCTTATTTTCCAGAATTTATCATTTCATTTTTGACATGAAATTGAGGGACTCAGAACTCTAGTAACCAAATGTTTACCATCAACCCTGGAATAGATTGAAGAGTGTCTACGCATTTTTGTTAATCATAACTGGACTATTTGTTTACTTAGAATTTAATCTACTTTTCAAAAGCAAAAAAATTAACAAATTCCTAGCACAGAAGCCATGAGGGGTTGATGGGCCTTTAGCTTTCTAAATATTCTATGGAGTCAGTTTATGCTTCACTACTCTAGCATTACTGCTCAGGTTTTCTTTGCAATACATTATTTTTGGGTGACATTTGTTATGTACTCTAGAGGCTGTGTTTTAAAATGTGAATTAAGTTAGTAATAAATACGTCCCATTTAATGTGTACAAAATTGAAACGTAAGGATTCCTGTCAAAAAAAATATTACATAAGAGCTCCCTTTAAAGCTATGTGCTTCAATACATGTAATAACTTGTCAGGTATGCTAATTTGATGTTGTTTTTGTGAAATCATCAGGGGGGAATTTTGACAGCTCTTTTGACGCAGAGAAGGGTGTCGGGACCATTGTCATTGCAAAACCTTTGGATGCAGAGCAGAGGTCCATTTATAATATGACTGTGGAAGTCACCGATGGGACAAATGTTGCTGTCACTCAGGTAAGACGTCAAATTGCTAAATAGTGGAATTGCCAAAAGGTCAGCTCAAGTCTGAGTTGTAAGCAATTACAAAGTGTATTGGACATAGTAAATTAGATCCATGGATTTCTAGTGTTTAAAAAGAATCATTTGAGAAAACAACCTAGAAAAAAGATTCTATCAAGGGTATTGTATAACTCAGCTGCTTCTTTCAAGAAATCGTGATTGTTCATGTATGGGAGAGTGAGACGTGTTTGTTTCCTGATCATTTACTGTAGATTTATCTCTTTGACAACAAAGTCAGCTTTCCTCGAATTTACAAAGAGGAGAGCGCCTCTATTGTCTGAGTTAATACACCGTGATATTCTGCACCCCATTTGTTAGTCACAGTAAGTTAGAGCTAGAAAATACCTAAGAGCCCAAATTCATTTTACAAGCTACGGTCAGGTGAGTGATATAGCTGAGGTCACACGGCATTAATAAAAACAAGGCCTGAGACCTAGGTGCCCTGGCTCCCATCTCCCGTGTCGCCGTGTGCCGGGGCCTGGCTCTGGCTGCGCTGTGGGACCCCCCGATCCGGGAGCGCGGCGCAGACCGCTGAGGCCTGGGCCCCGCGCCCACAGCCTAGGGGCCCCCACGCAGCCCGGGCCAGGGCCCTCCTGCCCGCTGCTCGGGCGCCGTGGAAGGGCACTGAGGCAGAGGAGGGAAATGTCCGGGTGAGGCGAGCACGGTGCTGGTATCACGTGGGCAGATTCACCCTAGGGACAAGAAGATGTTTTGTTTTGTATTTTGGCATCAGAGAGACCTTAGCCCCCCCCCCTTCCCGCTTCTCTCTCCTGTTCCCATGACCCTGGAAGCCGTCCCTGCTGCGCCCAGATGTCCTCGGAGTCCTCCCCAACGCAGGTTTCGGGTGGTGACGATGAAATGTTTGTCAACCCTGAAGGAAGCCGCTGTTGGTTTACTTAAGATATGATGCCAGCCTCTGTAACTGCGCGGTCTGAACCAGGCGAGGAATGTTTCGTGCTTGTCTGTGCAGCTGCCTCTTAGCTTGAAGTGGTTTCAACATTGTGCTGACACTCCTTTGACTCTAATCATAGTCATAGAATGGTGGAAATTTTAAGAAACAATAAAGATTAGTATTGTACAGCCCTTTTACTTTTCATGTAAATAAGCTGAAACCCAGAAAGGGAGTGACACGCACTGGACAAGGCAGCCAGCGTGTGACTCCTCCTGGTCCTTGTCTCGGATGACTCTTGACCCTGTTGGCCTGAGACAGTCCCATTCACCCCTGCTGCACTGATATAACTGTGTGTCATTAACTTAAAATTGCTCCAGTTGGGACAATAAATTATATAGTCACCCTACCTAAATCTGTACTGTTTCAGAGTATTTTCAAGACACCAGAAAAGGACACCGTGGTTGACATCCTACAGGGGTCATACAATCTAAAACAAAGCCCCCAGCCTGATATAAAATAACCCACTTGCAGCATTGCTAAGTCTTTAGTGCTAATTCACTTTAAATGAGAATTTGAATTAGGCTGTTCAAATTAGCCATGGCTTAGCATATCCAACCTCAGCTTTTTAGCACCACTTAAAAGCACAAGGCATATTGGAGTAAAATACAAATAGAGCATGGAACCATATTCAGTTACATACTTTTCTCCAGAGTTTTAGAATAATTGAATTAAATGGTAATTCAGTGTGCCCAGGATGCTGTAGAGATTTTTAGAAAAGTGAATGCATGGCAGACACTACATATTCAACAGGACCTATATGGCAGGCATGTTGGGTCCAGGGCATACAACCGATTCATGTGAACCAAAAAAATTATCAATGAAACTTTTATTTTAGAATTTCATTAGGACCCAATGAGAAATCACTTAACAGCACTTATTTCAAAAATATTTATTGAGTTCATATTATTTGCTAGGAGCTGTATTAGATGCCTGAGGTCACAGTGATTCAGAATTTTAAAACCAGGTCACTAATGTATACCCACTTTTAAAAAATTAATATGGAAGCATATAAGAATTTGAATGTGAACATTGTTCGAGTCCCACTTTGATTGATTTTATTTCAGACAAATGATCTCCAGAGCAGTGGGGAAGGAAGTAGAGAATCGGGGAGAACTTGGAGCTTCCCCTTGGCAAGGCCAAGCTAAGCATGTTAATAAAGGGTATCAAGAGATTTTCTTGTCAAAAGCTTCTGGGTTACTCTGTATCCCCAGGGCAGTGACCCTCTCAGGAAGTGAGAACTAACAGTTTCCTAAGTGTAAACTTATATATATGTCATCATTATTACCATCAAAAAACCATTACTCTGTCTATAGGGCTGTGTCGGGCCTGGATACCCCGCCGGCCTCTGCCATGGAATCCAGCCTCTGCTCACACTTGCCACAGCTCCTCCGGCAGTAGTTGCAGCGCTGTCTTCTGAGTCAGCCAAAGCCCTCGGTGTCAAGGACATTTTTACAAGAGGATGTTTGGGGAGAGAAAAGCATTCTAGGTTTCTTTTATAAAGCACGCTCCAGCCCATGACCCCAATGATTCCTTCTTCAAACAGATACCCTCACCACGTAACTAAATAAATGTCCCGTAGCCCCAAAACACCTGTTCAGTTTTCCTTTGGGAACCTTTCTCTACTTTGTTCATTTGGAATCATAAAACATGGTGTGACACAAGTTTCAATCAGCCATAAACAACACATGGAAATTTACTTGGCAAATGTCAAATAAATCTGAGCCTCGGGGATCTCTGCCTGTGCGGAAACTCCTCCCTTCATCTTCAGTTTTGCCTGTTGTGCCGACTCACAGGATTCTTGTGCCTCGGAGCTACACTGCCTGGTGATGGACAAACATTGTTTTCCTCACTGAGATTCCCCAGTGTGAGAACAGATATAAAAAGGTTCTGTGGAGTTCAAGTTATAAAGATGCAGATGTTCTAAATGGAAGAAAAAAGCATCCCACCATCTACAAAACCTCCTGGCAAGGTGGACAAGGGCCTCTGCATAAAATAGTTGTCGATTTTATGAAGGATGTTATTGTACTTTATGTAATACACCAGAGCATTTGACAGCACGGCCTTTGTAGCGATAAATCCGTGTTCTAATCCCTGCTCCACCACTTAGTAGCTGCACAGGTCAATTTCTCTGCACTCTAGTCCTTTCATCTATAAAATGGGCGCACTCATACCTGCATCATTAGAATTGCTGTGGATTACATGAGTTTATATATATACAGAATATTAGCATGAGGTCTAAACGTAGTAAGTTCTCAATAAATGTTAGCTACTGCTGCTATTATTACTGCCATCCCTTAGCCTCTGAGAGCATTTGTATCATGGGGACTGCGTCCCAGGTTGTTGTGAGGAATGAATGAGAGCCTGAGTACTCTGGGGACTGGGATGATCCAGCACTGCGTCCTAGGCTTTTAATGGAGGACTATTCTGAACACTCTGACTTGTCCTAGGGTGGAAAGTGCAGGATGATGCCTTAAGGCACCCTCAATGCAGATCAAGCCAGGTAGAATTTGTCAAGTACTCTGAGCATACCAGACGCGTATTTCAAGGGCTTTTCCTAGTTTTTGATGCTCCCTCCCAGGATGGTCACCTTTGATAGCTCTTTGATAGTCTTCTCTTTGTCTACAACCAGCCAACATTGTTGAGTGCTTTTTGTGTTATAAGAATTATCTCATGGTTTTTGCCCAGACAGTGTTGCTCAGTGGTTGAGTGTTGACCCATGAACCAAGAGGTCATTGGATTGATTCCCTATCAGGGTACATGCCCAGGTTTCAGATTCTATCTCTAGTGGGGGGCGTGTAGAAGGCAGCGGATGGATATTTCTCTCTCATCAATCTCTCTATCTCTCTATTCCTCTCCCTTCTTCTATCTCTAAAAAAAAAAAAAATCAATTAAAAAAAATTTTTAAAGAATTATCCCAAAGTTTTAAAAACTTACTCCCAATTTCTACATGTATATAATGTCATGGATAGTAGAAAATAGTTCATAACTGGCACCTTCCCTTTCAACTTAAAATTGGAATAATCTACCTGATAACTATAAAATATGTGTGTAGCTTTTATTGTTATTTATGAAAGATAGCAGAGATAGTATGCCCCAATAATCTAAAAGTTACATTGATTTGATTCAGGGACTCATGATGTGTGCTTTTGTGATTTTTAATATACTTCTCTTATTCAAGTCCTGGTTTGATTTATAAAGATATGAAACTCAGCCTGTATTTGTATGGTCCAAAGCCAAACTGAGATTAAAAATCTCTTTCAGATAATCTTCAAAATTCCTAGGCCCCCAAAGGCAGTTCATTGAGATTGGCCACAGAGGCTTCTTGCCAGAGTCTGTGTTTTCTGGGGCCGGGAGGTCTGTAACCCGTGTTCCTGAAGTTAGCCTTGCCCTCCAGTCAGAGGGTTCCATTCCTCTTTTCTAAGTGATGTGCTGGAAGTGCCTTACTAGCCTCCTTTCTTTAAAAGCACACTTTACCTTGAAAATGTGTATTCTGCTTTCTCTCTACCTTACACCTGCTTCAAAGGTGGGGTGGGGGGAGAGGGCACAAACAAACCACTTTTGCCAAAGCTGCTCCTAGATCAAGGGACTCCCAAGGGACACTGCCCTCATCCAAGGTTTTCTTTCTTTTCTTTTAGTGTCATCTCACCCATAGCAGGTAAAAAGGGCAGTGGCCTACAACTTCCTTATACATTTAAGTTAGGAAAATGCTGGAACACGTGCAATTATATAGAGAAAAAAATAAGGCAGCAAGCCAACTCTAATGTGAGACTTTCTGTAAAAAAAAAATAACAGTGAAGAAATGTCACAGTATGTAATAGATCTGTGCCTGACAATTTATGAGTAAATCAGTTTTTGAAAATGGATTCCAATTTTAAGGGGAACAGGGAATTTTCTGTAGAATAATCCCATGATTGATGTTCCTAAAATGAGAATGGTCATGTCAGTTATCTATTTTGTGAATTAGGATTTCTGTATAGCAAGGTACATAATATTTGCACACATA